GATTTTAGTCTCTAGACTAATGCTGCAGTAGAGTAACATCTTCAAATATATATTCAGAAAGTCAAGGGTTTAACCACATGAACTTATAAAACATTATTTATAGATTATTTGAAGAAATGACATGCGTACATAGAGAAAGAACATTCAGTTGAAAGCCTATATCAATGAATCACCAAACGAAATATACACACACACACACACACACACACATATATATATATATATATATATATATATATATATATATATATATATATATATATGTTAATATTCTAATAATCTCTTTACTAAATTAGTATAAGAATACCTTTAGTATTCAAGACTTGATCATATTTACAGGAGTCATATTTCTGGATAAATACAATCAAGATTTGACATTAAAATTTAAAAGCAATCATAATAGTATTAAAGTCTAACCCGTCTTAAATCAAGAAGTGTATATAAAAATATACCATTCCACCAGTTGTAGGATATGTAAGAATTTATGCATAGGAGATAGGGCATAGGGTTATACCCAAGTCCGATCACATAGATTAACCCTCGCAAAGTTATGTTCATATTTTAACAGCCCGCCCCTTGATCGGCCATACTTTAATTACTTTATACTTTCAGCAAATTAACATCTGGAGAACACAGACTCCAGTAATTGCGTGAAGCTAGAAGCGACGAGTATGTTCAAGGTAAATACAAATCCCACAAAGAGTTCTATCAACCACATAACCTAACAAAACAACATCTCAAAACCAGGATCGAAACAAGGTCAAAGGAAAAGAAAATTCCACAATGAACTCGATCGAGAGGTTCTTGACGAAATGCAAACCGAGGAAATCGCGTTTAGATCTCAGATCTGCCACTCATTGCACCGAAGCAAACAGATATTAAGGATCAGATGATGGATCGGCGGAGACGAAGGGATCAAGAACCAGATCGTTGGGGGGAAAGGCGAGGGGAGAGAGAGAGAGAGAATGGGGAAGACGACCTTCGCGATGGTGGTGGTGTCGAGAGAGAGGAAGCTCTCCTTGATGGCCCCGGCGAGCTCCGCCGGGTCCGGCTTGGACTGCGACGACGGCTTGAAGAAGAAGGACATCGGCGCTCCCTCGCGTCGCCCGCAAGTGAAGATGAAGAAGAAGAAAGAAATATGTCGTTACGGCTCGTTCTCGTTGGCTTTGTCGAGCGTGAGTCGACTGCGACCGGTTCGGTTCGGCATCCGCGATGTTCGCATTGGGAAGTACCAACAGATCCGTCTCCACCATTGACGTCTCTCCTCCAAGTGGCTCCCATTCACAACCGCTGGCTGTGGACCCATGCGCTATGGGCCCCCTAAGATGAGCGCCTGCGGACCGAAACCTTTTTAGACTTCTTAACATAAAAATGGAAACAATTGTTGTTTATTAAGTACAGCGTGAAAGGCTTTTTCTAAATTAAAAAATAGAAATATTATTTAAAAATCTCTGCACCTACATAAAAATAATAATATTATTATGGTGAAAATAACATGATCTTACACTTCAGCTCTATGTAACTGACACAACGGTGCCACCAGGCCGACACCTCGCCTTCATATTATTATGGTGAAAATAATAGAATAGAACTCACCCCTTTCCTATAGAAACTGGACCAGACAAATGCATTGAGACTTTTTTTCCCTGGTCTTAACCAAACACAAGTTTTCCAACAAAAGAGATCTTTCAATGGGAACAACATGAATGCCAAGATTCAGAGCTCATCCAAACTAAATCAAAATCATTGAAATTAACCTGCAAGCAACTCATGAGCAGATTCAGACAGACTAGTGAATCAAGAGAAAAGACCAATAAGTCCATGAACCTTGAGAAAATGGAAAAAGAAACAAAGCAGCAGTCATATTCAATTCCATGCAACCACTGTATATCGACAGATATCAGTCTACAAGGGGTTTCCCTTCTGTTATGAGCAAGAATGTACAAGTTGTGGTGATACAACATAACTCTTCCGGTCTATTCTGATCGAACCATGTTAGTAACTCAAGGAAAAAGAAGAAAGAACAAAGCAAAGAAGAAAATCGTGATCGATTACCCAAATATACAATTTCAAAAATAGAATGCAAGTTTTTCATCTATGGTGTCTTGCAGTCTTGTACATTTCTCCAAGAGCATGGACAATTTGTCATCCATCTTGAAGAAAGAAATAGCTGATCTTCCATTTTCTCCATTCCCTGATTTGTTACACTTCAGATCCTCATCCTCGTCCACAGCTAAATTTTCAGACTTCAGAGCATCACCAGTTTCATGCACCATGGGAGATGAATCTAAAGGCTCAGGCGGTGACATGGGCTGCTCTGCAAGTGGAATATTGCAGCAAATCTCCACAATTTCATCAAAAGACGGTTTTGTTGAAAAAGAATGCATTGTTCGATACTCTTCTTCACCGATTTTCCTCTCCAAAACCTGCATCATGGAACTTGAGTTTAATGGCATAGCAGCACCAATGCTGTGTGTATAATCAATTGCAGTAAGCCTGTCCAGATGCTGCTCCAACAAATATGCAACAGAGCAACCCCCAGTTTTCAGATTAATTAACCGCCAGTTCTGAATCCTCCTGAATATCGCTGACCATCTTGGAATGATATAGTAACACGAACCATGAAGCTCAGGATATGCAGCAGTCTGCACCAGTATTTCTGCCTCTATAGCAGCTAGATCAGCATTTAACATCTGGCATGATTGGGTCATGTAGCTTATCAAACATTCTTGAAGGGCCAGCTTTTGATCTGGAATCTTCAAGCCCATATGAGAACCTTCTTTTAGCCAAGGCATTTCATTTACAAACGGTGGTAGCTTACAGCCCTTTATCAATCTGATGAGTGATTGAATTCTCACAGGTGAGCTCCATCCAATGCTTGGTAAGTACCTATCCACAAAAATGCGTTCATTGCTAGACTTCTCAAGCAGATCAACCTCGGGACTTGGCCAATGGTTTACATTTGTGGATGCAGCTGCTGAAATCCCCTCGACCAATCCGTCCAGTGCTGCATTGAAGATTGAGATGAAATGGTTTGGACCAAAATAAGAGGTATCACCATTTTCTAGAAACTCCAATGAAGATCTCAAGTAGCTCAGAACAACTCCATGAGTCTCCACTGGACAAACAGTAGGTTGTAAGGGTGAATGCTTTGCCAGCCATAGCAGACCCCCTCTCAATTTATCATCCTTGAGAAAACCATTCGACTTCACCTGAGGGTCGTTATCACATAGGAAGACAACTGAAAACGAGTATATTCTAGTCATGTCTGCATCATGAAGTCCAAGCCTCCTAATTATTGAATGCGAAGAATCAGTATTTTCTTCAGCATATACATCACTGCTTAGTATCAGGAGGGGTAATTTTGATCCAGATGGTATAGATGCTAGAACATTATGAAGTCGCACCTTCTGAATTTCCCATGGAATACTTTCTGATACAAGAAATACAACAGCGCTAGTTCCAGAAACAATATCATCTTCAGGAATCATATCATTATTGTCAAACACAACCTCCTGAATAATAGACAGGCAACAGTTATAGAAAGGACTAAGTTGGGTACTGATCCAACTCCATATAGATAAGTGGGGCATAGAAACTATTGGCTTGTGGTTTTCCTTACTAGAACCCATAACTTTTGAGAGCAACCATCTTGAAATCTGACCCTCTTTAAGCAACGGCTGGACAGGAATAAGCAGCTTCCAGCAAAGGCAACTGGCATCAGGATTTCTTGTGTGTAATACTGGTGCAACCAGTTCCGACACATTAATTGTTGACCATGATTTGCTTAGTTTCTCATATCTCGCTCTCAAAGCATGGTTAATGTTAAGCTCACTATAAGCAAGCCTGGGAATCTAATTATAAAAAAAAGAAACAAAATTTAACAATTAAATCATGCAATTTAAAATAACTCAGATATCAGAGATGTAGCAACAATAACTCACATGTTGACTTTGTCGGAAAGGAACTCCCACTGAAAGCGAGCACAGTGCAGCATTTGCTAGCGTATTTTTCTGCTCACGGGTTTCTCTCTTTTTTGTTGCTTGATGCTTCCACTTCCTGGTTATCAATCACAAAAGGAAAGAATTTTGAGCCTCCCAATGGCTAAATATTAGATACATAACAAATATCATAAGGGAAAGTGATGAACCTCAAGATCAGCCTTAGCTTCTCCTCGGCAACTTTATTCTTGTGGTGAAGCACAAGCAACTGGTCTTCATTATCTAGTTCTCTCTCTATATCCATTTGAGATGCTGAACTATCACCTACATTGTTGAGTAGAGAACTGACAGGTGCTAGAGAACTGACAGGTGCTGGAGAACTGACAGATGCTAGATCTCTGACCATATTTACTTCATGTTTGGGCAAAATTGTCTGATCCATGGTGGCATCATTTTCTAATTCAATCATTTGAGCATCCTCAATTCGTTGTGCATGGTTACTTACATTGTGATCCACTAAAGAAGTACTGCTTGGAAGAAAGGCTTCTGCTACTTTGGCATCAGTTTCTCTGTTTAATAAGGGTATTGGCTGCTCCTCAAGGAGCTTTCTAGATTGTGTAATGGCCCTCTGAGTGATGTTGGCTTCATAATCATGAATTACATCATTGCTTGAAATTTCCCGAGTATCTACTTCAGATGCATCAGCTCTCTGATCAACCATGTCGAACTCATTATACACCCCTGTTTCTCTTCCCTCAGTGATGTGAGATATGGGAGGACCAGAATAAATATCATCAATAATTCTTGGTGACTTCTTGAGATGCACAAGCTGTGAACACTTTGTAGGAAAATCCTTGTCACTACTAAGAAATGGACCTTCCTTCACCATGTAGCTCTCCTCAAATTTCTTTAGTACGAATCCATGATATTCTAGAATACTTTCTACATCCTCCTCCTATGAATGAGAAAATAATAATAATAAAAAGATATGGAAAATATGCTAATTAACAAAATAGATAAAAAATTGCATTTACCTCCAACCCTAGCCAGCTCATGATGTGTGTGACAGGGATACCTTGATTATTTTGAAGACTACCATGCAGGGAAGCAAGTGCCTGTGTTCTCAACTGCAAAAAGGACCTTTGCTTAAACTTTATGCAGTCATAACCATGAAGCAAGTGCAGTTTCACAGAAGCAATGAAAGCTATTTCAATCACACAGACCTTGAATCTCTCATGAAAAGAAGATACAAAAGAACAATACCATAGATAATGTGCAACACTAGCCACATTCTTACAATCATGTCTCTCTCGTGAAAAGAAATGGTCCTGAACAAACGTAGGTTTTTTCCATTGGTTGCAGTAAGTTGAAATAGTTTTAGAATGTACACTTATTATACCCCAGTTTTTTAGTGGCCAATTTAGCCTAGACGCCTACCTAATAATTCAGATCAATGTTGCAGTCATCTTTTATCCTCTTTTACTTGGTTTTTCCCTTTAGACATGTTACCACCTGAATTGCCTCTCTCACAAATTAAAGGATTCAATAAATTGCTAATACACATGTATTTAATAAAATAATATATTAAGACATTTTTGTTATGTAGGAAAATCTATATACAGGATATACAGCTAAAATATTTATAAATATATGTTGTGGATTGTGCTTCATTATTTTATACTTAGTCAATCTTTTACTACTGCAGCTTTCTATTTCCAACGTCTTGTCCTCCACACAGTTACAGAAAAGAATAGTTGCATTGGATCATAGTTTACTAGATCAGAACCAGACTGGCTGGTCGGATCTCGAAAACCAGGAACCCGACCCCTGTTGGTCCAGCTCACCTAATGCATCATCCCCACTTAGAAACCACTATAAATAGCTGACCCGGCTCCAGCCGAGACAAATAGAACCTGTCCGGCTTTGTCCTTCAGCATACAAGGCTCCCGATTTCCATAATCATTTTTGTTATTTTAGATGGCAGTTTAGTTTTTGTTGTATATGATGACAAAAAATTGGGGTTACCGTAGTTAAACATTCATTCTTTGAGCCTACCTTATCTCACAACCCTCTCTTGCACACCACCACCATCTATCCCTCTCTCCATCATCCTCTCTTCCTCTCTTGCTGTGTCACACAGCATGTC